CCTGATGGGATTTCAGCCAAAAGCAGACATAATTTTGGGGTTGAGGATACCCTCAGATTATTTTTTTCAGAAGGATTTTACGGATATTATAGGTCCTAGTGACTTTAGTCCAGACCATATAATCAAACATCTGTAACATTTCGTTTCTAATTAATTTTTTTCTCTTTAAATAATTAGTAGGCTTCGCTTTGGTACGCCTGAAAATTTTAAGYTTCAATGCAACACTCTTCTTGTCGAATATGTATGTGCGTGTGGGTTAGCGGCGGCAAGTTTCTTGTCACCAATTTYACTTTTGTAGACTAACCTTTTGTCGGCGCGAAACCGCAAAACCTCAAATTTACGAACACACACACAAGTGCAAAGGAGTTTACCACTTTTATCACCTGTCGCCAACTTCCACTACTTAGCATACATTCTGAGACGATTTATAGCACCTGCTGACTGCATTTCCGTTACGGAAACTAATTGTTGTGCATGACTTTTGTTTTCACTTTATTTTTCATTCGAAATACGTGCATATACTCGTGTGTGTGAATATGTGATGTGCGTGTATGTGTTGCTGCAGCCGCAAATAGTCGTATAAGTTGACATAAGCCTTGCTATTTTCTTAACACAAATGTCAGGAATTATTTTGGTCACATATTTCTAATGCGTGTGTGTGTATGTGTGTTTGGGGCGCTTTAGTTTATCTTTGACACAATTCTTAACTGATTTATGTGTAGAGTTAGGCATTTGCCGTCAACGTTGGGTGATAAAGTATTTGCAAAGTAGGCTAAGTATGAGTGTCGCAATGTTGGCAGTTGAAATTGTTTTGCAGAAGCAGATGGTTTGAGGTTAATGATGTGGTTATATGAATGATATTGTGGTTGTGCTTTGAGAGTTTAGGTTGAGAAAGATTTTCCCCTTTTTAGCCAAATTTCTTAGACGTACAGATATTTGTTTTGGAATTACATTTGAAGAAATAAGCATAGAAAACTTTASTTTTGAGTTTTACTGGACGGTTCGACCTCAGACCAAGTTTTTGCTCACGACAGTCGGGTCTACGTAAGTGGAATGGAGCCGGAATTTTTTTCGGTCAAGGACTGTCAGTTCGACGGAATTCCGGCGCTACAACAACAACCAACTGAGCATACGTTGGTCAACTACCAGCAGCTGTGAAATCGCAAGCTTCTTCTGGCTCGGTGTATATCGGAAGAGTTCTAGGGAGCTTTTCGCTTCCAACTAGGTACACCTTTTAAAGGCTGGGGGTGGTCTAATTGGATAATGTCCGATCGGGATTCATGCAGTAGGATGGAACATTTTACTAGATGACAACTGATATAGCTGTTTGGCAGAAGATAAAAGGCTTTCATTGTTACAGTATAACACGCTTAGATGTCTCACGCAAAATTCTAGCTTTTGGGGTACTTAGGTGGGTCTGATACGTCAAAGGCCATCTAAGGCTTTCGAAGTCAGTGTTATGCCCAAAAATACTGGTTAAATAAGCGGGTTCGGTACCAAAGCGAACTTTACTGTAACTCAAAGATTTTTCTTCCGATCGCAGTAGCTTTTGCGCATTAGATGTACGTACCTTGAGCAGATAATTGCAAAAAATACAAAATAGCTTTTTTGACTATTCTTCTACATTCTACGATTCTTTGTACTACTCTCTACTCCTTTTTTCCAGTTTTGCTAGCCATTTAGTCATTTCGCCAATCCACTCTCTCGAAAAACACTATCAATTCAATCATTGTCAGCTACGCTTGACAACACACATCACTCATACGCCACGTCGCCCCACTAGCACAACAGCAGCACAGCCGTCATCAAACACGGAGCAATCGGACTAAAGCCGTACGAATGACCGTATAATACATTCAACTACAATCAGTGCAGATTGCACATCAATCAATCAGACACACCTGTTACACACCGCCTTGAACTTTGTTGCTGACCTGCAGGATAATTAATTTGCATACATTTGCATTTGCCACGAATTCAATTTACATAACCAATTTGTTTAACTGTTTTACTAATGTTTTGCTGTTGGCCACCACCCAAGCCACTSAGGAGCACAACGCCTAGCGCAAAACTGCAACGAATGCGAGTTGCGTATCAAATTCTCTGGCGGGTTCGRCACACATATACACATAAAGCGTATAATAACTGTCAGCCATAATAATAATACCCAATTAAAATTCAGCTGCAATTCAGCAGAATAAAATCACAACAGAATTGACCATATGCTGTGCAGTTTTGTTTTCGCCACGTCTTCGCTCTTCAGCATGCCGCTTAAAGTCAATTTTATGCAAACAGTTATGGCATTCCATGTTTTGTGTTTCTTTTTTTTTTTTTTTTGTTTTTTTTTTTTATATTTGTGGCAGTGGAAAGCAAAGTGCAGTGACGTTCTTTAAATGCGGTCTTTGCTGCAAGGCGCCGTTTATTTTATTAATATTGCTTGCTTCTTGCGACAGATACACACAGCTGGTGTATGAGACTATCAGTGTGCATGTGTGTGTGTGTGTTTGTAAGTTTCTTTTCGTTTTCCACGTGAAAACATAAAGTCTTATGAGCGCAAGTGCAAGCGTTTTGCTTATAAATTACCTGTTCGTAATGCGCCACGCGTACATTTTTACATGGCGTTGTTGCAGTATGACTCAAGCATGCGCTGAGACAGTCTTCTATACATAATTTGTGCATTATAGCCACACTTACACACATATATGGGCGAGGCAGGCACAAGCAGTTAAAGAGGTTAAGTGGTTGTCAAGTATAATGTCGTTTAATACGAAATATGTTTCCATAATGGCAACTTTATAAAAGTGMGAGAGAGTAGAGGCATAAAGCAAGAATTTTAAAAAATTCTATGAAACTATAGCTTCTTTATTTTATAAACTGAGTACGTTATATTAAGTTTGCCACGGAGTGTGTGAAATGTCGGAGATCCCAACAGGATGACGAGCTGAGTTGATCCAGTCATTTTGTCGTTATACAATCCAAATCTGATCGCTATCTAATCTGTCGCTCTGAAATTTTTCACGCATCCTTTTTTACAAAAGGCTGCTAWTTTGTCGAAAAAACCGCCGATATCGGACCACAATTACAAATAGCGGTCAACCAAACTGAAGGATCGGAAACAGGTGCTGTATSGAAAATTTTTTCATTTTATGCGCTATCTTTGCAACATTTTCCATGGGTTWAAGACAAAAGTACAATCTCTGAAAAATTTGTTCAAATGCGATCACTATAGCCTATAGCTGCCATATAAACTGCCCGATCGGAATCAAATGTTTGTATGGAAAACTTTTTCATTTGACAAAATATATCTTAACGAAATTTGGTACGGAATATTATTCAAGAAATCAGTGCAATATCCGTAAAAATTGTTGTGATCGGGCCACTATAGCTAATAGCTGCCATACAAACTGAATAATCAAAAACATATCCTTGTATGAAGAAATTTTTTATTTGGCAAGATATCATCACGAAATTTGTTACGGATTATTACCGGAAGTATTTCTATAATATCCAAGATTCCAGATATTCCAGATCGGACAGGTACAGCATATAGCTACCAAACGAACTAAACGATTGGAGACAAGTACTTGCACGGAAAAGTTTTGCCTTTGAAGAGAAATCTTCACAAAATTTTACTTAAATATTGTCTAGGACAACAAAGCAATCTCCAAAAAAAATTCTCCTGATCGGAAAATGTTTTCATTTGTGAAAGATATTCTAACGTCGGGGCAAACGAAGATAACTTTTTTCTAGTTTTTTTTTAACCTTAGTTGGTAAAAGCCGAAAAAAATTTACATTTCGACATTGCAACTGGAAAAAACGATGAATTATGAGCAGAAATTGAATTTCCTCAACGTCTTTTTGTCAGCTCATACGTTTTTCCGAAAACTCAGCTCGAATCTCTAGAGTGATTTAGAAACCCAATAGCACAAGAAAAAAACAAACATGTGTCCAAACCTAACAGTTTCCTCGTAGCATGTTACAGACATAAACATACATGTAAAAAGATACATGTACACATTCACCCATGCAAATGTATGTATTCCATACATATGTATATATAAAGCACGTGTCGCGCACTAGTAGCATTGTCTGGCATTAAGCAAAATCGTGACTAATTTCTTGTGGTGGAATGGTTGCAAGCAGCCATTCGAAGCGCGCAACCACTTTACAATGCAACGTGCAACGAGCGTCCTAGATTATGCTTCGACGCTTGGCTACTGGAGATGCATGTGCATATGTTCGTGTGTGCACTTTCTCCACTTTCGCTGCAGTCATTAAGGAAGACGTGAAATTCCGCATGCAATGTACTTGCCGGAGTACTTCACATAACCGAGCTATGGCGCACGGGCACGTCTATATAATGGCGTAATACAATTAAAGTTGACTGCAGCTCACTTACATGCAAGCACAATGCAAAATGTTTTAAAGCAAAAATGGCTATCTCTTAATATGCTTTTACTTTAATGTCTCGCTTATGGAGARCTCAAAAGTTGTGGTAGAGATAGCGGAACAGTTTTCATTTGAAGAAAATTAACTATTATATTAGATTTTATGGCATTAACCAAGTTAGTAACCAGAGTGATTTATTTAATTTTAGATATTCGGAGAGCCAGTATTGTTAATTAATATTGAACTACCGCGCCACTCTGGGAAGCCTCAGCGGTTTGGGGTTGCATTGAATTCTTCAAATTCAAAAGTGTCTTTGATCTCTCTAATTGATGTAATATTAACACGAATTCTTAGCAGCGAATCTAAGAGTCACAAGCTATAACTTTGTCAAAGAAAGGAAGACCCTAAGTAACCATCTACTCGCAAACCTCATAYCATTATCTTCCATACCTATAAGTATACTTTTTTGTCATCAATWTTGAAGCTTGTTTTTCAATATTGTATGATTATTTTCACCTTCTGATTATGTTCTATACTCAATACTTAATTAACAGTTATTGTAACAACAAAATGTAATTGTTTAATTTTTAATCAAGGTAATTTGCACTTACCTGTTTCCATTCGACTTTATCGATGCCGTCCTCACCAGCCATCTCGATGGGCGGTCGCAATATGGAGACATACTGTGCGCCAAAAGTAAACATTCAAGCCCAAACATTTACGGGCCGCAGTGTGGCGAACGAAGAATGAGGAGATGTTGTGAAGTATACGCCGCACCGGAAACGMAACGTAAACGGATGTGATAGGGATTAAAGGCGGCAGCGACACAATTCGTGCGGAAAAAATGGTAGAGAAGAAAATGATTAGTAAATTAGGGAAATTTAGAGTAGAAAGACTGATTAAATTGTTGATGAGATGTTGGTGGGTGGATAGTCGGATTATCTGAATTTGTATATTTGTATGTTGGTTCATATTCTATTAACCGACTACCTAGTAGGTGAAGCGAAGGAAGAGAGAGAGAAAGATACTTACAACTACTGCTGTTGTGCGTTGGAGAAATAAACCTTTCCAGTCGGCCAATTAGCAGAAATTCTTTTTATTTAAAAAAAAACATCGGGTTCATTTTAGTCGTTAAGCAAAAAATTGTTTCGTTAAAAAAAATACACTAAGGCTTGCTGAACAAAATCCCTACATGAAGCATCAAGAGTTAACAGTAGTTAGTTAAATACTGCTCCTCTCATTTGAGTTAAGAACCTTCTTTCCCACCAGGAATGAAACCGATCAAACATTCTGACTTATATCGAAATCTCTCAACAGTTAATTTTTCAAAACTTTTTTTGCGAAATTAAAAAAAGTCTCATACACTAGTATACAGGTACGTCACGCTTACTCACTCCAGTAAAAAAAAAAATTACAATTTGTATCAGTTGCAGAAGTATACAACCAGCTGAGTAGCAGAAAACTCTTCCAATGCATTTTAAATGAGTATTTGATTGCTTTCGCTTCCAACACGCCKGTGAAGTCATGCCGTATATCGCTGACAGTACAAGAGTTCAATGCACAATAACACCACTCTAACCATTTCGCATTGCAGTACACGTAATTGCCACCCTGTTGTCCTCACTATTTCAGCTCTTCTTCATTGGCATGTTCGTACGACATTACTTTGTCGGCATTTAAATCGAGTTTACTTTATTTGCTCATTTTATTTCCTTATTAAATGTTTGCATGCCGTAGCTAGTTAGGTTTTCACGTTTTTCATTCAATTTAACGGTAAATACCGGAAATGCGACAACTGCTTGCGGTATGTATTTACTACCGTTAGACAGAGCACAATATGCAGTGAGTAGACAGAAGTATTTTTCTTCTATGTATCCTAGTTCAATTCCGAACTTTCAAACAACAAAATAAAATATTTATAATAAATTAAACTTGCGACTACTATTTTTCAAAATAACAAAAAAAAAATTATTAAAAATTTAGTTATGAAAAAGTATGAGGCGCCTAAAAGTATGCCCACTCCAACTTACTACCACTGTTTTCGAAAATTTTCAACAAAAAAAGTTATCAAAAATTTAGTTATTAAAAAAACGCGGAGCCCAAGAGTGTACCTCATTGCAACTTAACAGTATTTTTTCCGAATAATAATTTTTTTTCACTAGAAAACGCGGTATTTAAAAAYATACCACATTCTAACTAACTACTACTGTTTTCGAAAGTTTCAAACACCAAAATTAAAAATTTATTTATTAAAAAACGCGGTGCCTAAAAGTATACCTAATTCCAAATTACTAATACTGTTTACGAAAGTTTTCAACAAAAAAATTTCATTATGCAAACGTACGAGCCGCCTAAAGGTATACCTCATTGCAACTTACTACAACTGTTTTCGAAAATTTTGAAATGAATTCCCTCATTGAAAGACTTGTCGAGGTTATAAGAAGTTTGAAATTTTCCCATAATTGTGTTGAAAACTTCCCTATATAAAGGCTTCTTGCAGAGAAAATGACGTGAAAAAATTTTTGATCGATATCTAAAAAAGTAAGGAGCTTGAAACGTATTAATAGATAGATAGACGGACATCACTAAATCGACTCTTCGACGTTTCAAGCTTGAAAAACCCTGTATTAAAACTGCCATCTTATGCTCCTAGAAACATAGTGACGGTAAAAATTTATTTTCATACCCATTTCAACAGCTAAATATACGTTATTAAAAGCTTAAGCGATCAAATATTTTTTTCAGAATACAACAGCTGAAGAATAATGAATAGTAAAATACGTTGTATTCAATATATAATTTCGCAACTATAAATACAGTTAATTGGCAAGTCCGTAAGGCGCTCACTGCAGGTGAAATTATATATATGTACATACATACGAACATGCCTGTTGCACATACTTGAATATAGTGTGCTTCTGCAGTATACAATTAGGTGCGCCTTCGCATTGCATTAAATTATCACGCATACGCAGTGGCGCACCATGACTACCGCACGGCGATGACGAAGCCTGTATGGGTTATTAAGCATATTAACTCATTCGTTGAGCAGTTGCCACATGTCATTAACATTGTCGCAACTTTTTTCATCACGCTCTCGCTGTCTTTTTCGCTTTCGCTCTTTTTCATTCCTGCCTCTCTTTCTCTTGACCGCCTGCAACCAGCCGCTCAGCACTTACAACACTTTAAAGTTAACAACACGCCATTTACGCACTGCCTTCGACGCATTGTCAACCTTATCTTTRTGTTAATTGACGCCGAGTAATTGACATGGCAATGCCACTGAGTTCATTAAGCCATCGGCAGGTAGCAATAAAATGCAAAAAGCCGCCATTAATCGAGTAGTTTTAATTATACACCGCAGGACAGCGCCGCAAAGCCAAATGCGGTTGTGGGTTGTTAGCTTGCACAGGGATAACACGTGTATTTAAAGTGCAAGCAAAAGGGACAAAGATGAGAAAAGTGATAAAAATCGACAGCGAGACGCACGTCAGGGACTTCATTAACATAAAATTGCTAAATGAGTTTTCTCGTTTTTGTTTGTTTTTCACGCTATGTGCTGCGGTCGTTTGCTTTCCCAAAGGATGCTGCCCTTTATCAACGTAGCTTTATTTGTAATCCCTCTACATTAGTCAAACGCAATGGTCTCTCATGTGCATTGTAGTATGTGTGAGGGAGTGTGTAAGTGTGTGTTTTTTGTTATATTTTAAATTGCTCAACTCACCTTGCCGCGGTCGATGCTCTTGATCATATCCAAGTCCGTTGTGTCCGATATGCCGCCGTGCACAATCAACACCCGATTGTTAACGATGGTGCCCAGCGGCAGCCAGCGGTAGACTTCTTCAATCATTATCATTAATTTATCGGCATTGCGCTGTGCGGAAAAAGAATACAGCGTAAGAGCAATGCGAATAGAACACAAAGATACTGATAAGAATATAATAGCGAGAGAAAGCATAGCAGTTTAGTTGAATTTTTTCTATGCGTACTTACTCGATACTTCTGCTGCACCTCGCGTATGAAACCGTAACGCGCATTCATCACAGAGTCTTCGTGATTGCCGCGATTCAAGTGCACGGCACCGGGAAAGGCCAGAAAGCAGACAAGTAGCAGCAGGAAGACCTCCAGACCCTTTTTGCCGCGATCCACGAAATCGCCGTTAAAGACATAGGGGTTTTCGACTGAGGGAAGACCATTCTAGCGATTGGTGTTAAATGAAAAATATTGGGAATTTAAAATTTTCTAAAAATAATTTAAGCTACAAAGATATGGTTTGTAAATAATTTTTCCTAAAAATGTTACCGAAATGTAAAAGTAGAGAACGCTTTCCATCTTATCTAGCACCAAATTTAATTTTTTCTTTATGATTTCTCATTCTCTGACAAACTCACTCACCTTATAGAAAATCACCAGCAGATCATCCAGCTTTCCATGCAAATCTCCAATAACTGTCACCTGCTTGGATATCGCCGTTGATGCTTGATTGAGATTTGGAAGTCGTTTTAATTTAAATGCAGCCTCTTTTAGTATACCACCCACATATTTGGCCAGTAGGCGATCAGACTGTAAGGAAGGGAAATATAAACAACAAAATGTATATCATTCATGTAATACAAAATTATTTTATATAATTATATTTATAAAATTCTCTCAGTGTAAGTTTTATATACGAGCATTTTGGTCGAGATAATGAAGACTAAACCGAATGATATCTGCCGATTTCTTTAGCAGAAAAGTGAGCCCAACAATTTTAAAACGGATCGATGTTTTTAACATCTATTTGAAAAAACTTCAGGAAGGAGTTAAGGATTAAACCTCAATTTTTAAAATGTGAAAGACACAGGTTTTTCTGCCGTAATAATAATTGTAGTGTATAACCCACGGCTAGAGAGATCTTGATATCAAACTACTGTTCAGTTATATCTCCAATATCTGAACTCAGTATTAGAAAATAGCCCGGAAACAAGTTCAAGTGCCAAAATTTGCTAAAAAGAACCAAGATCTATAATAAATTGTTAATATTTCTTGCCGAATCATGGAGAAAGCGGTTAGTAACCACAAACTACCTGACAGATGTCCTATACTATTTAATAACTTTTCTTTTAWAGGGTTTCTAATAACCAAACCAATGTGGTACTTACTTTTTTCTTGCGAAACACATCAATCAGCGTCACCACATCCTTCTTGATTAAGGGAAATTTTAAATGTGGTCCATCATAATTCTTGTCGGAACGATATTCGCCATCCTCATTGAAATCTGACTCATCGAAATAAACATCTGAAGCTGTAGTTTGTGTAACATTTAATTTGGCACAAGCAATTCGCAAGCGTTACACACACACATACATGGTACAAGGAGCGTAGTTGGGGGAAATGAAACGGATGCAGACATATATATAAATGAGAGAGATATATGAAAGATTAGCATTACAAGAAATGGTATCTGCAGGAGCATAGACTACAATCTATTTGTATTTACATAAAATCTACTAAAGATATTGTATGATAAGGATCATAAAGGTATTATGAAAGTGGCACATGTAATTATTAAGACGAATTAAATACTTAAGTGCGAGTTAGAGAGCACCTGTTACACATCTACACATACAAGTCAGTAAGATTTCCGCAGCACACAATCGCATTACAATTTAACAAATCTGTCTTCATCCCACACACACACACACAACAATTGTTATACATATATGTGCACACAAATGCATGTACGCGTACGCTTAACTGTTATGTATATAATTGCTATATATTACTAATACAAACTTACATTAGAAYTAACTTAAATTTAAGTACACGTGTATGTGTTAGCAGTTTAGTTTTGTAACAATTACCTAATGAGACCTCTGAGTCCCTTTGCAGTGACGGGCGTTGGGCMGCAGCAGCTTCGGGAATGTGTGTAAGCAGTGCATTGAAGAAATTATATAACTGTAAAGAGTATATAAAAATATACAATTAATTAGTTTAGAATATAAATATTAAGTACAAAGCTTCACTAGGTTCATTCTTGTATGGAAAAATGAATTTTGCTTACCGATTAAATTYTTATATTTTCAGATGTGTACATGAAAATGTTTGCAGTTTAAATTAACCATACTGTTTATTGTTTAAAGAATTTCACTGAAAGCAGTACTTATTATCAGTAACAATGCTTTGCAGAGGCGGCTATTTCTGGAGAAGTCGGATGGGTTAAAGCTAGGAGGGTAACTTGGTGGGGGATTCTTCTGTAGAGACCTTTAGGACCTTTTTTCGGGCACAAGTGGCTCATATTAATATAGCAGTAGTATAGCTTCTTTCAGGGAGGCGAGCATTCACTCCAACAACAGAGCGGCKAYATYMRTGCTGATSTCGCTAACTGTGCGCTCAAAGTTGGTCAAGGTGTGTCTATTCTTACTAAAAATAGCATCAAGCTACTTCATCATCAGACTCATGTGGGTGCCTAGAAACTGCAAAGCTGATGAGCTAGCAAGAAGATGCACTCGCACCCCGCTCAAATCGTAGTAAGAACGAGGCGGATCTATGAACCTAGTGTACGTAGGTCTACGACAAGCTCCTGAGCGACTGCGCAGCGGACATAGCCGAAASCGACATCGGAATGCAACCACGAACTGTATGAACTCTACGGCGACATGGATATAATTAAGCGCATAAAAATCCAACTAATACGCTGTTTGGTCATATCTTTCGCATGGAAGATGTTGCTCCAGAGAAAATCTCCATCGTCTCGAGACCCAYGGGTGTCATACAAGGGCACCAACGCATCTTATGGAAAGACCAAGTGCACAGTTTGGGTTGTACAACTAGCGAAACCACGCAAAGGATATATTCAACTGATGAACTTTTGTGTCCGTTTGTAGAGAAAAAGAATATTATATAGTATTTATTCATATTTGTGATCGATACTACGGAACCTTGGTCTTAAGACCAAATAGGCATTTTAATATTTCAGATGGCATTTCACAAACATACCCTGTTTTAAGGCAATGCATCAATGTTAAAGGAAAAAGTAAAAGCCCCTTGTAGTCGGTCAGTCGTGTGAGTTAGCAACCTTGAGACCCTATGTTGCAGAGCGGAAAGACAAGGAAAAAAATATTTATCAAAAACTAACCTCAAATTTTTGGAATAGCATGCTGCGAATTTGAGTCGCTTTAACGAAATATATCAGAAAGGTGTAATATARCAGATCAGGGTCGAAATTGAGCGCACCTATAATTTCTGCTGACTCAAGCGACATTATAGCCAATTTCTTGTTTTACATTTCGATGATAATATTATTTTCATAAGTAATTTTTTTGATTTAAAGCAAAGTAGATAATCTTCAWATTTCCGACGGAATTCGCGAAAAAWAAACATAATTTAATGTAAAATTGTTTTGACCGAAATTGCGCAAAGTGCMCGCGAAGCTTGCTTGCTTGTGTAGTAATAATTATATATACTATACTATATGAACTCATATACTATACGAGTATATAATTATATATATATACGTACATTCAAGTATATTTATTCGCCCAGGAGCGGTGTCCTACAGTTTTTGGTGGTCAACAAATAAATTGCCGATTCGTGCTTTCACTATTTTTATGACAGCAATTTTCTTCCGTAAATCATGGACGAAAACAAGCGCTAAGGATCACACCAATGCAAGTGGACACACACAAACATATATTATATAGTACATATACATACATTCACACGATATCGCGTATTAAAACTAAATTGAATATTTGAAACATGAAATTAAATTAGAAATGAACGGTTGGAGAAAATAAAAAAATGGACAGCAACAACAAAAACAGCAGGCCTGCGGTCACTTGACCACAGGCGAACGTGGCAGGGGAAGTTTGCGTGGACGCGCGCTTTGCGGGTAGCCAACAAAAGCGACGACAAAGAGAAAATTGTGAAGCAAAAAAAAAAATAAATAAATAATAATAATAATAAAAACAAAATAATATTAACTAAAGGAAAACTAAAAGTGAATGAGCACAGCGCAGACGGGGTGAGTACGCCCATTAGAAAGTTAGCGCCGGACTCACGGGACCGCAATTAAACACAGTGCTGCAGCAGCGACCACATTTAATTATGTGCTGTTTGTTAGCGTGCGGTACTCGGTACTCGCAATGAGCGCACTTTCCTTTARCACTGCGCTACAAGTCGTGTTATGGTTGTGCGCTGCTGTGGCAAGTGGCAACTCACACACAATGCGCGCTTGCTTAAACAACCAACTGTATTATGCAATTGTTTATGGCGTGGTTAACATAGCTGCATTTCATTCTTGTCTTCATTCCACGTTTGCGTGTAATTTTTAATAGCAAAGCAGTCTGTATAATTTGTTTTTTTTTTTGTTTTTGTATTTTTGTTGGTCGCGCAGACAATACGAAGGTCAAGCATGCGGTGAGGAGCTGCTGCAAGCGTGGAAAATAGTCGGAGTAGATTAAATGAAATATGCAATGGAAGTATAGAAGTGAAAAATTCCCAAAGCTGTTCTTTTTGTGAATTGCTCGGTTGTTGTGAAGCTAWGGTGATTACAATGACAAATTTTGCATCAAAGAAAAAGAATAATGGTGTATAAGTGAAGAAAATAAAATTAATATTAAAACAAGAAAGAACGTTAAATTCTAATGCACTGTAGCTATAATACCCTTCACAAATAAAACAGTTGCCATACTGTGCTTGATTTCGAACGATCAGTTTGTATGGCAGCTATATGCTATAGTGGTCCGATAATTTTCGTAATTTCTTATGAGATTGTAGCGTTATTTTAGGCAATAATCTATGCCAAATTTCGTGAAGATATCTCGGCAAGTGACAAAGTTTTCCATACAAGGTTCTGAATTTTTTCAAACAGTTTGTATGGCAGCTCTATCCTATAGCTAACCGATATCGGCAGTTCTGATAAGTAATCAACTTCTTACGGGGGTATAAGGCAGGCGAACTTGTCGAAATCGATTTAGCTTCCGGTGATCATTTACTGAAGCCAACGTATACTATAATTTTAAATTTAATGCTTCGGACTTATTTATTTAGTGCATTATCACACATTTAATAGCTTTAAATATACAAGTTATATAACTAGTAGTCATAACCAGTAACCGATTTCAAACATTTTCAAACTCTCCGAGGAAATGTCAAAAACCTGTCCTCAGCAAGTATGGTTGATATGACTTGAGTAGTTTGTTAAAAATCTATTTAACAACAGTTTGAAATTTCCTGCAGCATTCATTTGGAGTCGCATGCAGAGAGCAATAAAATATACTTGAAAGTATGAAAGAAATAACGGCATGTGGAAATAATACGAGTAGCTTTGCATGCAAAACTATAAAACAGTCATAATTTACACCGCATAGTTGAAGTGTTGATATATGTAAATAGTTTGTAAATAAATATGTGAATAAAAATKTTAATATGTTTATGGAATATGGAAAAACAATAGGTCAGCTGGCTTGTCCTTGCAACAAATTGGCTTATTTTTTATTGCTGACATGTGGTGATGAATGGTTCAATGTATATACTAATTGCAGCAATGCCGAAAAAATATTACGAATTCGGCTCTAAAATGACTTGTATTTGTTATGGTTATGTGTCATATGCGAAGAAGTTAGGTGTGGGATCAGTGAGATTAGGTTAGGTTAGATTTGATGGCTAGTCCAGAGCTCGCAGATGGACTACTAGATGCAGTCATTTGTGAAGCCACAAAAAATAGCTGGATTTCTATGGAACATATAATAAGAAACCTAATAAAATTAGCTGAGGCTTTTAATGTCTATTCCCACCGTTCGTTGGGATATTTCAAAGTGTGAGCTCCCAAATGTTTAAATTATAATTTCGCAAGCGCTGAACAATCAAGAAAGAAGTGCTGAGGTGTTTCCACCTCGTCTTCTTTCATACAGCTACTTCARATGACTGTCGGTAAGATTCTCAACCCTATAACATTGGCTCCGCTAGGGCGATGTAATGTTAGAACCGAATAGGGACAAGGTAGCTTTAAGGAAAAAGAGCTCGCTTGATCTCTTGCGCTGCATTATGGGTCAAAAGGATGCCTCAACAGCTCCCGCTACTTCTACTTCTACTAGCTATTTCTTGAAAAATAATATTGGGTAGACGAAAAGTCTTTTCGTATTACTAATCAAACTTCAACTTATTTTTCCTTATATTTATAACGACTTTAATGAACCGAATATTGTTTAATTTATACAACTGTTATAAAAATTGACGCAAATTTAAGAACTGAGCTACCAAATGACAAGTTAGCAAGTAAGGTGTTCGCCTTCTAAGAAAACGCTCTTTATGTAAGCCAAAAAAAATGCAAACCGCGTGAATAAATTGCTAAACACCAACAATTAGTAGAAACCACAGCGCAGAAACGGCCAATGAACGGAAGAGGGCCGAGCATGTAAACATATCGACGATTCACCTTTTATGTAAGCATGCATAAAWATGCATGTAGGGATGGGTCAAAAAAGTATAACATTTTTAATCACTTTATGCTCTGAAAAACAGGTTCTTAGACACCTTTAAGRAAGTCGCTCCAAATGTGAGCTCTGTATTGTAACGGAAAGGTGTTCCACCTTAGAGTTTTGTATTTTTTCTATTATAAGATAGAAATTTTCATATCTTGCTTCCAACTACTTGGAAAAATCGCATTTCACATATTTTGTATAAAATTKAATGATCTCTTACGATTTTTTCGTAAACACAACCATTTAAAAGATATTAAGCTTTGAAGTTTGATCATTTTAAGACACATTTYTTCTTGAGAATCTTATAACTCAATGAAAAAAAATTATTTTAAATTGAAAAACTCTCAGTCTCTAGATCATTTACCGCTCTTCAAAGTGTCAAGCACATATTATTTTTTTTTTACGCACCCTAATACATATATATGTATTTTGCTTTAAGAAACATTGCAAAGCCTTTGCTGCTAATTTTTCTGCGGTTTTTCTTAGCTTTTATCGCCCGTTTATTTTCGAGCATATTTGCGGTGTTGCAGCTAAATTTAATTTATTGACTTTCGAAACAATAAAAGTGCTGAATATTTTTACGCGAATTTGAGTGTTATGTGTTGCTGAAGGATGATTTTAAATATACATGCATTTTGTAAATTTTCTTTCAGTGGATTTTCAAGAAAAATGCTGTTTAAAGCTAAAATATGTATTTTCCTTAAAAAAAAAAAATTCAAAATATTCAATACAAGCATTAAGCATATATTGAGTTTTATATATAATAAAATGTTCATATATTTTTTAAAAAAATTAAAGCTAGAAATGAGGAATTATGGAGTGCCAAAATGTTAGAGCTAGTAACAATTGTTTGACCTTAAAAAAATTCGCAATCGCTTGTAAATTAAAAAAAAAGTTATATTTCAAAAAATTTGCGATTTTTGAAATTTTTTCCAAACAACGATTTTTTTTTAATTTAAAAAGAAATCTGAATTTCACTAAATACGCGTAGTTACTAAACCAATATATTAAATAAATTCACTAAAATCGTTTTCTCAAATATTTTGCAATTCACTTACCTCCACTTGATCATTTTCACCGGCATATTCTAGATTTGTAAATATAGTCCATGTATAACGGCGACGCACCTCCATGCGCGCTCTATATCTTCGATACCAACGTTGGATGAGCAAAGCTGCTCGTAAAGCTGAAATGGAGAACAAATGATATGGATAAATAAAGCAAACGTTAAATAAAACTGAAACAGAAACTTTTACTCGAAATAAAATGGTCGAAACATATGGTTTCAAGCGTACTCAATTTTAAGATCTATAAATTTYAAGTACCAAAACTAATTTATACAGAGAGAGAGAGTGGCAAGCTATTACGGAGTTTTTCCTTAGACGAACACTTAAAAACAAGACAATTTTATGCTAAAACAAATCCCGACCTCTCTGGGTACACCACAAATAAAAGTATGGCCTGGATACCCTATAAATTAGTTACTGCGTTCACAATGAAGAAGATGTACAGTTGAGACGACGGGTTATGATGCGTATCTGAAGTCGGAGGTTATAAAAAATAATCGCGCGAATACGATCGCGATGGAATTCCATTTTTTTGGTCGAGTTGAATATTTTAAGTTACTTTAAACAACACAAATAGCGATTGGATGTCAATTTTTTTATCGCCTGAACAAGTGTTGAATTATTTTCAATGTTGAACCTACTTATGGAAAAGTAAGGCTCATCCTCCTCAAATATATTGCTTTCAGACACAAAATGTGTAGCAAAAAAAGTTCACTGTCTACAAATACACTACAATAGTAAATGTGAAAGTTAGAGGTGCTCCTAAAACTCCGCATGACTAAAATATCRGCAAAATTTCGAAATAATAAATTTAGCTTACACGAAAATTCAACTTTGCTGCAAATAGAAAATGTTTGCAGTTGAAATGTGCAAGTGCTCTGTATTCAGAGCAAACATAAATAACGCAGGTTGACAGCACACTTTGCGCAAGCGAAAAAGTTCAAAGTTTTTGCCAACAAAAATAGTACCAAAAAATGCTCTCAAACAAGCGTTCACGACAAAAACATATTTATGAAAAAATCGCTGTCAAGTTTATCACGGCACACCCTCACCCGCACTTCAATGTCAGCAACAACGGCACACAAATCACTCACTTGCGCAGCGTGCAACAACAGCACTTATTGGCGAACTTTAGTGCTCAGAAAAGCTGTAAAGCGCAAACTAAGCGTGATTAGCAAACTTCTTGCGCCCCAAGCCACGCGGTTGCATCAACTCCAACGGCTCCTACATGGCATGCTTGCCATTTAATTTATATGTTGCAAGTACGGTGACAAGGATAATTGAAATTTGAGCATGCYACTGGCAGTACGCACGTTGCATCCTCCCCCAAACCATCTGCAATGAMATGCAAGTATTGCGAGCCAGTCAGCGCATCAGACAGTTAGCGAATTGGAAGTACCCTTCTGTATCTAACTATGTGCGTGTATTTTGCGGCAGCGGAGTGCCATCACTAACGCAGCCATGCTGTCTCTCGCACTAGTTATAAAATTAATTATATATAAATTCTTTTTATATTTCGGTGCCAATTATATTACAATCAGCTGTCCAATAACGGGTGCGGTGGTGTACGTAATTGAATTTTTGTGTAAAAGCGTAATGTCATTGCGTCTTTTTGTATCTTCCTTAGTGCAAACTGGCTTCCCCTTGAGCTGTAGCTTTCAGTGAGGGGCTCGTTGTTGATACAAATTATATTACAAAAGTAATTTTGAAATATTTGATGGAATTTGTGACGTTTCAATAGTTGCTTGACTGTAGTAGTTGTTGATATATTAAGTATGAAACAAACTTGCCTGAGGCTAAAGGCAATAAAGTTGCAGAATAGTGAGCAGGAACAAGTGAGGTGAGATTGTGTGGTGGTTTTGAGTATATGCATGCCTGAAAGCAGCGAATATTGGAAAAGGCTTATAGTGATTCAAAWTCACAAGCCTACGAGTAGTACGTAGCCTTCAAACACGGCTGAGAGTTCGCTAAAGATATGCCTCGTGCTGAACGATCTTCGACCACATCAACTGATGAAAATGTTATAAAAGTGACAGTTATGGTGCTTGAAATCAGGCAAGTGTTGGAGGGATGGTAAGAGCGCTCTTAAAAGATCTCTTGCGAGTCCGTTCTAATGATTTTGGTGCATATTTTGGGTACGAAACGCGTTTTTGTTCGACTTGATAACCAGACAAAGTAATTATTATTTTTTTTTTTCTAAAAGAGTGCGATTGTGACCGAATTTAAAGTCAGAAACGCAATGAATACCATCGATYAATCACCGTATTCACCAGCCTTGGCTCCGTGAGATTTTTTCTTGWTTTTTAAACTGAATTGCCGCTCAGTGGAACTCGTTTTCAGTCGATCGAAAAGATAAAACAAAATTCGTTGAAATAGCTGAWGGAAAAGTGYTYATGAAAAGTGTTTCGAGGACTGGAAAAATCGTTGCCATAMGTATATTACATCTAGTAGGGAATACTTTGAAGACGACAAAATAAATATTTAAGAACAATTAAATATTTTTCGTTTTATTTACAATTCCCAGGTACTTTTTGTCATAATTGTCATGCACTAACTTGATTTTCGTCASTCAGTTTATGTGGCAGCTTTATGCTATAGTTTCCCGATCTAAACAATATCTTCGTATATGGTGACCAAACTTTGGATAAGTTTTCCATACAAGGACTCGAGTTTGACCGATCAGTTTATATGGTAGCTATAAGCTATAGTGATGCGATCACAACCATTTCTTCGGGCATCGCATCATCACCTTATTTCTTGAAGATATCTGTTCAAATGCAAGAGTTTTT